CTTCCCTATTATTGTAATTTCAATTTTTGGAACTTCCTAAGTGCCTAATTCTCAGGATTTCAAATTTTAAAGGTGGTGTGCGGTGAAATTTTGTATTGCCTATTTTGTGCAGAAATCTGTGTAGATTCCCATAAAAATATAAAAAAATCCGGTGGCTACGGCAGGTACATAGATCTAATTCATCTTTAAAAATTTGAGTTTTCGGCAAACTATTCATTGAAGGACCTGTTTCCGACATCTTCCACCACACCTTCTTCTCTAGAAAACTCAACACGGGATACATCGTCGCTTTTTCGACGCGGTTTTTTGCATTGTATGAATTATTTGAAGTTTTTCTTTACTTTTATAGGAATCTACACAGATTCCTGCACAAGTAAGGCAATAAAAAAACACCGCACATAACCTTTAAGAAAATACTGAAACTTCTAAGAATTCTAAAATTCTAAACACCTGAAATTCTGAAATTATGAAATTCTAAAATTTTGATGTTCCGGTGTTCTGCAATTTGGGAATTCCGAAAAATCGGGAATTCTAAAGTTCTGAAATTTTGAAATTCTGAAATTATGAAATTCTGAAATTCTGAAATTCTGAAATTCAGAAATTTCGAAAACCTGAGAAACAGAGGTTCTGAAAATTTGAAGTTACGAAAAAGTTCTGAAACAAAAAAAGCTCGTGGTTACGAATTAGGTTTATTCTCTACCCTTAGAACATAAGAGTGGGCGACTTGGGACATATACAAATTAAGAAAAATTCAAAATGTAATTTTTCATCAAAAAAGATCTACTAGATGAGCTTGAGGGGATTCTGCTTTTATTTACTGTCCCACTTCAAGTCATAATCTACCTCTCCTCCAATTGGTTCACGATGGATTAGGATCTGTGTGTATGTGCTTTTTTCTTCTAAATTCATAGACAAGCAAACTTCAAAAAAGAGGAATCTCAAACAATTGGATGCACAATAATTATGGAACGGTTTTGGAGAAACAGAGAATGAACTTCAAATAAACGAAGTTTGAAAAATAGATTTCAAAAATACATTTTTCATCTTTAATGACATGATTTTTTTTTCCTAGAATAGTTCAATATTTTCAATTGCTGTTTCACAGTTCTTCAGAAGTTTTATAAACATATAAGACTGTAGTTTAGATTGTTTGTATCTGTTTTTGGCTATCTACACGACTGTATCTATTCTTTTTAAAATCTCAATACACGGATTTGAATTTTTTGATCATTCCATCCAAAAGGAGTCTATTTTCGGAGGAAGTAGTCTTTTGTGCACGCTTTACACATTTTCTGAGGATTATTTTGAGAATTCGAACTCTGATATGATGAATGCTTACGACCGGCTTCGCTAAGCGCGGTTTTGTCTTGCAGCTTCCCTGACTCTCAAAAGTTTAGTTTGCTCATTTGTTGAGCTTGAAGAGAGGAAAAATAATCACATTTGCTCTAAATTAAAAATTTGTATGGTTTCGAAGACAAAGGTGAGGTTGCATATCGAACAAACTTCCCTATTATTGTAATTTCAATTTTTGGAACTTCCTAAGTGCCTAATTCTCAGGATTTCAAATTTTAAAGGTGGTGTGCGGTGAAATTTTGTATTGCCTATTTTGTGCAGAAATCTGTGTAGATTCCCATAAAAATATAAAAAAATCCGGTGGCTACGGCAGGTACATAGATCTAATTCATCTTTAAAAATTTGAGTTTTCAGCAAACTATTCATTGAAGGACCTGTTTCCGACATCTTCCACCACACCTTCTTCTCTAGAAAACTCAACACGGGATACATCGTCGCTTTTTCGACGCGGTTTTTTGCATTGTATGAATTATTTGAAGTTTTTCTTTACTTTTATAGGAATCTACACAGATTCCTGCACAAGTAAGGCAATAAAAAAACACCGCACATAACCTTTAAGAAAATACTGAAACTTCTAAGAATTCTAAAATTCTAAACACCTGAAATTCTGAAATTATGAAATTCTAAAATTTTGATGTTCCGGTGTTCTGCAATTTGGGAATTCCGAAAAATCGGAAATTCTAAAGTTCTGAAATTTTGAAATTCTGAAATTATGAAATTCTGAAATTCTGAAATTCTGAAATTCTAAAATTCTGAAATTCTGGAATTCAGAAATTTTGAAAACCTGAGAAACAGAGGTTCTGAAAATTTGAAGTTACGAAAAAGTTCTGAAACAAAAAGAGCTCGTGGTTACGAATTAGGTTTATTCTCTACTCTTAGAACATAAGAGTGGGCGACTTGGGACATATACAAATTAAGAAAATAGTGTAATTTTGATGTTGAGGTACATGAGAGGGATTATATGCAACACCAGCCTATCACCAGCCATCACCGGCGACCTATCAGCTCCGCGTCAATTCGAAACTTCGACACTTTGAAACCTGTCATTTCGAAACCCTCTTTGAAAATTCATTAAAAAAAACTTTTTTGAATAATCAAATTTTCGGTTTTTTCGTATTTCAGAATAAGTTATATCAGTAAAAAGTTTGAAAACTTTAAATCTTTCGAAAACCTTAAATTACCGGTTTCGAAATGACTGGGTTAGAAATGTCGCGGTTTCTAAGTGACGCGGAACCAACCTACCTACGGCCTGAATCACGGCCGGTTAAGACACCCTCACCCACAAGACATGAATTTTACATTTGCAGATCATATCCACTTTCGAAGAATTTGAATCGTGTGAGCTGAGATTTTGTAGAAGAAGATATCCAATGAGAACGTTTGCTGTAGCACTTGGAGAAGAAATTCCGATAGGACCATTTATCCAACAAGCGACAATCAATCATTGTTATAAAATCCCGGAATGCAATGAGTTTCTGGAATTTGAGATAAACGAAAACAGGATCTTCTCTTTTGTCAACATTGTTAAAATTTGATAAATTGCATTCTTGGGCTCTTTATGAGAAAAAAGGGGACATGGGTGAAAATATGCAAAAATTAAGATTTACCGATTTTTAAAATCTTTGCGGATGTTTTTATAAAAGTTTCGCACTTTGCGCTTGTTTCCGTAAAAATTTATGACTTCAAAAAAATTCATTTCAGGTTTTTTGCATGAAAAACACAATCTTTCCCTTGTAACCGTGTAATTTTAAGCTATTCAGCTAATGTTAGATTAATTTAGGCTTATGTTAGTAACAAAACATATGAATAATCTACAGAAATGGCATAAACTGAAAATTTCAAAAAGTTATGAAAAATGTTCGAAGGACGAAATTTTTATAGAAACAACCGTAAAACTTTAAAAAATCTGTAATTTTTAATTTGGACATAATTTATCTAGTCGGGCCGCCCTCTTGTCTTGACTCCCCCCCTCCCCCCCCCTTTCCATGAAGAGCCCATTTTTGAGTGTGCTCTGTCATTTTTTTTCGGATTACAATAAATTCTAATAAAAAATATTAACTTGGAATAAATATTATTAATGACCCCTGCAAACATTCGGTTAGATAGGAAGCTGAGGAAGGCGAGAGAGTATGGTGTGTTGGAGAACGGCGCACACATAACCGTCATAACATAACAGATGGCGAAACGTAGAGAGTGTGAAACATAGAGGAGACCCAGAGACACAGACAATTGGACAGCCGAATCGAGGCGTTCGACATTCACTCTTTTCATAGACGACTTGACAGAATAGACGTCTCACCTTTTTGGGTGTTTTCCAAAAATCCTAATGAATGGATTTTGGAGAACTCCTTTATTGATTTTTCTAAGTATTCTAATTCTACATTGTTATATTTACTAGAAGTCCTAAAAATTTCGCAATATTCTTTTCTTTGGAGTTTTTTTTATAAAGGTGAGTTTTTTTTTAAATCTATGGACTGAAAAGTGAATGAACGATTATAAGTGAAAACTTAGAAACGGCCCAACATGAAGCTGATGTGTTTTCTAGGCCATTTTCACTCAATGGCGCAGCTTTAGCAAGTTCAGTTTTCTAGGCCACCATTGTTTTTGGACTAGAAATGACCTAATATTCATTTGGTGCGTTTTCTATACCATTTTAACATGACGGCATAATTTTTGTACGTTGTGTTTTCTAGGCCGCCAATGTTTTTGAACAGGGTGATTTTCATTTACCGGCACATGTTTGAAAGAGGTTTTCTTGAAAAGTAGAAGCCGAAAACTGATGAAACTCAACATAATTGGGCGTACAAAAGTTATTATCAAGAAGTTTTCTTTGATTCGACCACCATTTTACATGATAGCCTAATTTTTGTAAGTTTACTTTTCTTGGCTATCATGTAGAAGTGGCTTAGGAAACACATTTCGTAAATATTAAACCATTTCTAGACAATTTATCATGGTGGCCTAGGAAACTCGAGCTACAAAAGTTAGGCCTCCACGAAGTTTCCATGTTTAAAGTGAGAAATGTCTCTTTGATTACATTCCCGAATCGTCAAAATTGACTTTGCCTCAATAGAGCGCGAGTGCGAGGTTGTTTTTGTGAGGAGGCACATTCCTCCGCTTCTTCAACCGAAAACTTTCACTCCAATTTTTTTTAAATTTCCGCAAACGATAAAAGAACAAAGAAACGCTGTAGATCAAGAGCAAGAGACTGATGAAATTCAACGAGAGTGGGAAACGTTCACTGTTGGTCTACTCAAAAAAGGATTTCTGGAATCTCCCGACGGCTAGAGGAAACTGCACCGCCACCAGCACAACAGAAGGAAAAAAACAGTCGGTGGTCGTTATCAGAAGAAGGGTCCGAATTGTTCGCCAAAAAAACCAACGAGAGGAAGAGATGCGAATAGAAACATTGAGATCTTCAACGAGCCTTCCACATCCAACATCCCTTCGACGTCTGCTGCACCACCAAAACCACAACGCATTGTTCCAAAGTCAGAAGACGTAGGACTGTGTCATCCGATCTTCATGATGCAGATGAATTTCAAAAAAGGTTGTCAATGAAGAATGTGAACGAAGAATGAGAGAAGGGTTGAGTTCAAGAGATTCCAGTCGAGTTTTAAGTGCCACATTGGATGAGATTCATGGCGATGGACAGATGGACAGCGACAGCACGACGACGTAACCTGACTGCAGATCAAAAACTGGTTATGAAGGAGTCCAAATACATATTCCGTCGTTTGAATGTAGAGGAAGTTACGGATCCAGTTGCAGAAGAAGAACCAGAACCGTGGATGCATGCAGAAGCAGAAGCTGAACGATTTTCGGTAAGTTTTCATAGGCTCGCATACTTGTCTGTCGGTCGATTCCGGGCTGGCTGATAATTCGCTTCAAAATTGGAATTGTGAGATGAACAACATGCCAGATCATATGATAGAGCTCGGCAAAAGCTCTACAACCTCCGATCAGAAGCATCCAACATTTGAATCAGTAATCGGGTGCGGGCCGGCTAAAAAAAAACCGGCCTCGACCATACAGCTTTCGAATCCGATCGATTCTTATCGGAGGTTGTAGAGCTTTACCATCTGGTAATAATTTCAATTAATCCAAATGGTTTTTCAAGTTTGGACTACATTTTTTTCATATTTAATTACTTCAAATTTTCAGAAGCCTGCCAATCAGAGAATGTCGAAAATCAGGAGGACATGGAGGACATCGAGAATCAGGAAGACGACAAGGATCACAATTTTTTGATTTTTAATACCATTCTATTTATTATAAAAAATGAAAATATTTTTTTATAATGTTTCTTCACGAGCTTTTTGAAATAGGAGAGTTTTGAAAATACATGATTTTTCTGAAAACTTCCGAATTTCGAGTTACGACTTCTAAATGAAAGTTCCTGGTTACGAGTTCCGATTTCTGACTTCCGAGCACTGAATTGGGAATTTTGTGATTTATTTCCAAATGAGATCTGTAAAATTTAGCAAAATCAGAGACAAGAAGTAGTAAAGTATGATCTGTTGAGCAGTGAACGCGCCGAAGGTGCCCCAGCTGCACCGGACCAAAAATTTAGTACTGTCAAAATGTGTAGAATAGCAAACCCTACCACCAAACAAAAAAAACTATGGTCAGGGGTGGTAGGAAATAGCGTATCATGATGCAACAATTAAATTTTCAAACGCGCCGAAGGCGCCCCAGCTGCAACTTACCAAAAACTTAGTACTATCAAAATGTGTGAAATAGCAAATCCTACCACCAAACAAAAAACTATTGTCAGGGGTTGCAAGGCAACATTGTACCATGGTGCAGCAACTGAATTTAAAAAAAGCTCCGAAGGCGTAAAAATTCGGGCCGGCCCGCCAAAAATTCGGGTCGGGCTCGGCCCGGAAGGCCCGGTATCAAAAAATTTGTCATTTTGAGCCAAATTTAAGCTCTCAATACAATTTTCTTCATTTTTTTTCTGATTTTTTGGATTGTTTGTCTGTTCGATCAAACAAGATCGAAAAACTCGAAAAAAATTTTTGATCGAAAAAAATCACATAAGGGTCCCCCTTATATGTTTTTTGAAATTTTCGAAATTTGTGAAATGACGAGTCCACCGGGCTGGGACGGGCTCGGGCTCGGGCCGAGCCGGGCCGGGCCTCCAAAATATGAGAAAAAGCCCGACCCGGCCCGTTACAAGTATGCAAAATACCTAACCCTACTACCACACAAACAACTATTGTCAGGGGTGGTAGAAAATAGCGTATAATGATGCAACAATTAAATTTTCAAACGCGCCGAAGGCGCCCCATATGCACCGGACCAAAAATTTAGTACTATAAGAATGTGTAGAATAGCAAACCCTACTACTAAACAGAATAAAAAACACTATTGTCAATGCTGGCACGCAATAGCATATCATGGGGCAACAACTGAAGATAAAAAAACGCGCCTAAGTCGCCCCAGATGCACCGGACCAGAAATTTAGTACTACCAAAATGTACAGAACACCAAACCCTACAACATTTACTATGATGAATTTTTTGATTAAGGCCGTCATTTACGAGTTATATCAATAAAAGTGCCACAAGAGCTTACGAGAGTCTCGCCCCACGTTATCAGCCTCCGCTTCTGTGTGCCTTCACTGCCCCCCGGTGTGTTACGTCTCAATCAAATCGAGAGACTTACTATTGTCAGGGGTGGTGCTCATGTACGGAAGTTGGCGAAATCATGGAAACTTGTACCCTAGGGTAACTTTTCATGCTGAATCGAATGGCGGTGTCAGAATTTCGATATCTCTAACCGTTCGTCGAGTACCACAGTTGTAACTGGCTTGTCGCAGCCAAGCGTCTGCTGCAACGTTGCTTTTTGATCTTCTGATCTCGGCTCTTCCTATCATTTCGAAGCAAAATTCGCCAAGCGTTGGGTTGTTCTCCCACTAATAGGGAACGTGAGCTGGGTTTAGACCGTCGTTAGACAAGTCATATATCTCTAGATATTGACCACACTGTATTTTCAGGTGGGTGATTCGATTCGAGGCGTTTGCCTCGGTGTCTGTGCTACTGTTTCTGATGCAGGTCAGGAGAAGATCTTTTAAAGGGCGTTGCTCTGATAGAAGTGTTACCTGTTTCTGTTTTGTGGAATACTGGTATGGAGGCTCAGTATCCAAGGGTACATCGAAAAAGGGTACATCGGGATCTTAGGGTACATTGGATCAGAGGGTACATCAGATCTTAGGGTACATCTGGGTGGTAGGTTCAAGGGGTACATCTCATGGTGGTTCTAAGGGTACATCAGAGAAAGGATCCCAGGGTACATCGAAAAGTTCTTAGGGTACATTAATCAAAAATAGTGTAGTTTTCCACTGGATGATATTTTGCTATAAACCGCACCATTTTTTTTGTTTTTTTTTGTCTGTATTTATTTGAAAACTACCATTTTTCGTAGTTTTATGGACTGATAGATTTTTTGAAGTTTTTTTGAAGGAGCTTATTGTACTGAAAATGGCAATAAGAAACAAGTCGAAAACTCGATATTTATCAGAACGAACTTTCAACCAAAGACACATTTCAAATGTGCCAGGACAGGAAGCATTATAAATTTGAAAAAAAAAGTCCAAATTCTTTCAAACTCTTCGGATTTTTCGGAAACACAAAGATACAAAACCGTTAAAAAGACTACGAAATGAAATTAGTTTTCAAGTACACAAAAACAGAACATTTGGATCTGGTCGAACTTGAACTCGCGACTGCAGATTCCGTGTACGCACACACACCACTAGACCACTTTGCCAGTTTTCGTTTCGACCACCACAACCCGTACACATCTTCGGTGGTTTCTAAAGGAGAAAGGAGTGCGGAGGTGGAGAAAGCAATAATTTTCGGAAGGTTTTCCAGACAAGGAATGAAAATGAGCACTGGCTAGTCGAAACTTCTGAAAATTATGACTGAAATTTTTAGGCCAGGTTCTCGATTTCAATTGTTTCCAGTGACGTTTCCGATCGCTCGCCTCTGTGTTTTATCTGTCGTTGTTCAAAAACATTTTTCATGTAAAAAATGTGGTTTTTTTTCTCAAAAATGTGTCTTTCACTTCGATTTTTGTGTTTGAATCCCAAAAAATTGTTCGAAATTCACATGGAAGAGTTTCCAGAATTTTCTAGGCCAGCGGATGCAACGGCTCTTTGTCGATTTACAGGATCCCTTTTTTTTAATTTTTGCTCCGATTTTCTCGATTTTCGACCGTTTTTTGTATTTTTTGCAGAATTTTGCGGGAAAATTAATTTTCATGAATTTTTTCATCTTGTCTATCGTTTTGAAAAAAAAATCCTGTTCCGGCCCTAAAAATTCCACAAATGAGTTCACGATTGAACATTAAGACCTGAATCACTGCGATAGTTCAGAAATTATTTATTTATTGCAAAATTCTGCAGAAAAAATTTTAAAAAAACGGTGGAAAATCGTTGAAAATCGAGAAAATCGGAGCAAAAATAAAAAAAGGTGTCCCGTAAATCGACAAAGAGCCGTTGTATCCGCTGGCCTAAAAAATTCTGAAAACTCTTCCATGTGAATTTCGAACAATTTTTTGGGATTCAAATACAAAAATCGAAGTGAAAGACACATTTTTGAGAAAAAAAACCACATTTTTTACATGAAAAATGTTTTTGAACAACGACAGATAAAATACAGAGGCGAGCGATCGGAAACGTCACTGGAAACAACTGAAATCGAGAACCTGGTTTAAAAATCAAACTTTTCAGACAAATATTAGATATTTTCCGACTGGTTTCTGGTTTCGGTGGACCAAATTAGGATGTTTACCCAGTTTTGATGTTAGAATTCGGAATTCATGCATTTTCATCGATTTTCGTTTCGTCCCCACAGGTTTTGGCACCTGCAGAAAAATAGGACAGCGAAAAAACTAAAAGTAGATGAATTTCAGTCATAATTTTCAGAAGTTTCTACTAGCCAGTGCTCATTTTCATTCCTTGTCTGAAAAACCTTCCGAAAATTATTGCTTTCTCCACCTCTGCACTCCTTTCTTCTCTAGAAACCACCGAAGATATGTACGGGTTGTGGTGGTCGAAGCGAAAATTGGCAAAGTGGTCTAGTGGTGTGTGTGCGTGCACGGAATCTGCAGTCGCGAGTTCAAGTTCGACCAGATCCAAATGTTTTGTTTTTGTGTACTTGAAAACTAATTTCATTTCGTAGTCTTTTTAACGGTTTTGTATCTTTGTGTTTCCGAAAAATCCGGAGAGTTTGAAAGAATTTGGACTTTTTTTTCAAATTTATAATGCTTCCTGACCTGGCACATTTGAAATGTGTCTTTGGTTGAAAGTTCGTTCTGATAAATATCGAGTTTTCGATTTGTTTCCTATTGCCAATTTCAGTACAATAAGCTCCTTCAAAAAAACTTCAAAAAATCTATCAATCCATAAAACTACGAAAAAATGGTAGTTTTCAAATAAATACAGACAAAAAAAAACAAAAAAAAAATGGTGCGGTTTAGCAAAATATCTTCCAGTGGAAAACTACAGTATTTTTGATTAATGTACCCTAACATGGAATGACTCCCAAGTGTTACCCTTGAAAAAAATCGCGACCTATATGGTTGGATAGAGCGTAAAAACTTATTTTAGATTCCAAACGGAATAGTTGGTAAAAAATTTCTTTTGGGAGTTATGGTATTGATATGTTTCTATAGTAAATCAAATGTGCTGAATTCAATGGTCATAATGAGAAAAGTTAATCTAGGAAGAAAAGTTAATCTAGGATTTTTGAGATATTGAATAATTTTTTGATTTTTTCAAAAAATCAATAAACCAATCAATAGGAAAAAAATTTAAAAAATTTATTCTCAAATGTTCAATCAATTGTCTATCTACTGTTTTTTAAATTTCAACAAACGGACATAAACTGACAAAGTTATGATTTTTTGAATATTTAGGCATTTTTTGGTACTTTTTGGACCATAACTCCCAAAAGAAATTTTTTACCAACTATTTCGTTTGGAATCTAAAATAAGTTTTTACGCTCTATCCATATATAGGTCTCGATTTTTTTCGGGGGTAACACTTGGGAGTCATTCCATGTAAGAACTTTTCGATGTACCCTGGGATCCTTTCTCTGATGTACCCTTAGAACCACCATGAGATGTACCCCTTGAACCTACCTCCCAGATGTACCCTAAGATCTGATGTACCCTCTGATCCAATGTACCCTAAAATCTCGATGTACCCTCGATGTACCCTTTTCTGATGTACCCTTGGATACTGTGCCTGGTATGGAAGGCTATGTTTACACCCGTTTACTAGCGATGTTGGCGTGCTTGTTTTGAGTAACGAGTTTTTTTCTTCATCGCGGCGTTTCTGGAAGTCGTTTCTGAAAGTCCTTTCGAGAGTTTTCAAATCGGTGAGTTTTGAGCTATCAAAAAGAGCTAATAAATTTTTACAGCTCTTGAGACCGAAGTTTCACATCTGGACTTATTCATTCAGGCCAAGATGTATGCGGGCGAAAGATAAACATTTTCAATACTTTCCGGAATCAATCGTCGAAAGTCTCATTGGTCAGATTTCTGTAGACCTTTGTTTTTCAATGACAAATAATTTCAGAGTTTGCAATTGACGTGGTTGGAATTTATCTGCCAGATTACCTACTTCACGGACCGGTTGATTCTAATCATGAGTTAGAAAATCCAGGAACTGTTCGTTACTTGAAACGTTGTTTACAGATTTCTCTCTGAACTAACAGGCTCAGATAATGAGAAATCAATGGAAATCAATCGTCGTAGAAATGAAAGAGAAACTGCCGCTAACACTATGCGAAAAAGTATCAGTCAAATGATGTAAGATGTTCAGATTCCATCTGATGATTTTTCTAACAAAATTTACAGTAATTAACTACGCGATTACCACTATGACGTGGACAAAGATGAACTAGAAAGCTGTAAAGTGAGTACTTTTGCAACCTGATTTTCTAATATTCAACTACTTTACAGAAACGGAACACATGCAGCAATCATCTAACTTGGAAATATTTCAAAGAACACCGTGAAACGTGTCGATTGAACGGAGAGGATCCTGAATTTTATGATGTTCAGAAACTCATAAGGTGGATAGTTAAATCAGTTTCAAATTGCAAATATTTAACTTTTTTCAGCTTTTTTTTTCATTTTGTTTTTCCATTTTTCAAATATTTGTTAATCACTTATGAGCAGTCGCCGAACATCACATATTCGAAAGCGTTTTTATTTATGTTTCTCCAGGGTCTTTCAAACTACTGGTCTTGGCTACGGAGTTGCTGAAAGTCAACCTGGCAAAGCTCCCAAGACCTCGTTGAAGACACCAAAAAAGACCTCAATTAAATCATCTATCAAAAACGCGGAAGTTCTGTCAAGAATAGTGGACAAATGGAAACGAGGCCACCAAATGATATAGAATAGCTCGGTTCTTAAATTTTCAAACCCTTGTTTTGTCCTGAATGAACAATGTTCTTATGAAGAAGTATGATTCGGGGGTACAAAATTTTTGAGCAAGTAGTATATTTCTTTTCCCAGAATTGAAAATTTGTTTTCAAATGTTGTGCAGCTTTCATTTTGTATCCTCGAATCACTAATTTAGTACCCTTCTTGTCCAATCATCTTTCTTTTTCTGGAACCGATGTTCTCTTGTGAACATTATTAAAAACATATTTTTCTATTCATTTTAAGTTTATCTTTTTCAATATTAGAATTTAAATATAAAGGGTGAATCTGTGACGCTTTTTCTCATGTCAGCCGTTCAAAAATGTATTTTTGTCCGGATTCCGAGGAACATGGCTCATTCCAACATTTTCAGCCAACATGCTGCTTTAGACAGAATTGATTTTCATCGTTTTATATACGTTCTTTGGCTTTCTGGTCATTTCGAATATCACACGAATCATTTCGAATATCTCAAGAACTACATTCTAAATATAAAATGTTAGATGATCAGAAAAATATAATTTTTGTTTCAAAATGTATCCTTTCTTTCGTGAATCATATTTTGAAGGATCTGGATGAATGGAATTCTCTCATGGCACGTTCAAAAATCAAATCAGACGAAGAGGTTTACAAAAAAAATTTAGACAAAAGAACATTGAAAAACAGAAAGAGCAAGAGAGAAATTTAGTTTTGCACTTGGTGACTGACTGAAGACACGGTGTAGGAATCACTTGTTCTCACACAAAATCGATACCCCACTTGCCTGAGACATGACGGCAGGCACTCGATAAATTTCACGCGGAGCTGAAATCGTTTCTTGTCTAAATTACTAGCAGCCACGCTTACCGAATGACACATTGTGAAAGTGAGAAGAGGAGAACAGAAAGTGAGAGCATCGCTGGCAAATGGTGTGCAAAACGCTATCCAGCTGAGCACAGTCAAATTGTCTATGAATGGTTGGAAGTTTAAGATGGTGCAATTGGCAACCGATAAAGTTGTGAGAAACATGTCCACGGTGAAGACATAGAAGGAAATGACTAGAAACCTTTTATCGGGTACTGAGAATCCTGAGCTGAAAAGTTACTGCATCATAATTACGGTAGTCAGATCAAATGTTAACGTTTTGATGACTCCAGAAATGTCGCTTACTAATCAAAAGTAAAGAAAGTAGATTTTACTTGGACTTCTGTCCCGGGGTGCTAATTAGTGGGGTTGACGTCTTTCACAAATATAAAAAAGACTTATGAAAACTGAAAAAGAAGAAAAAGGAGGAAGTGCAGAACTATATGCCACTAGAATTCTAGTTCATAGTCCTGTGTTTTGGAAGGTAGGTTCACCACTTACTTAGCCAATTTGATCATTTTTCTATACGAGGAGATGTTCATGTAGACATTGACTCCTGTGACAACTGTCAGGTAAGGAGTTAGGATCATATAAATATTTTCTCGACCCTGAAACTTTCAGTAATATTCTCTTCATAATAAGAAGCCTGGATAACTGATTCATTTGTTTTAAACTCACAAAGGTGGAATCTATGTAAAAGGTGTTCCAGTACGTATTCTGTGAATAGTATGAGGTGTTCAATAGAATAGGTATCACGAGAGCAGCAGGAATACCAATTGTAACAACAATGAACACCCAAAAATAGGCTTTCCAACAGGTCTCGAAATTATTGAATTTTATGATGGTCCACCGATTCAAGCAAACTCCAAAGTTGAAGTTGTATTGTCCATAAGCGAAAGCAAAATGAAGTGCATGTGGGATGCACAACCATTTTTGAGAATGTTCTTTGGTGAATTGGAGAAAGAATGGAGCCAGGAAACCAGTCGTTTTTGTGAACATTGGAAGTCGGAGGGATAGGAAAGAGTTCAGAAAGGTTGTGAAGTTCTGAAAAAAAACTACCGAGTTCTGGAAACTGTCACTGAAATTACCAGAATGAATCCCAGAAGAATCAGATGGAAAAAAGAGCTGCTGAAGACAGTCTTCCTGAATTTCCAAACCACATAAGCGATCACAAAATAGAAAACGAATCCCACTATTTGATAAATCAAAGTAACCAAAAACATGAGAACGAAGAAATCCATTTTGAGTCAGGAGGTCAGAGGAAACAGAAATAATCAGAAGAATGAATAAAATAATGATAATATTGTGTTTATATAGACGTTAATCAAAAAAAAGAAGAAAAGAGAGCAGAAAGGGCGGAGCTTCTGAAAATGGGCGGAGCCTCAAACTGCTTTGTGGGGATTTATAGAGCAAGGAAATTTTGAGAAAGCGTAGAGAAGACATACAACACACAAAGTGGGACTTTTATGAGACATGGAAAATATACGATTTGTGAGATAAAATCAAAAAAAAAGCAGATGTGATCGATTAATCTGCTTGAGAATCTAACTACAGTGCCGGGAAAAAAATATGTTCGGGTTCAAAACTCTTCAATTTATTTGAAAATTTCAGGGAATTATCAAGAAAATTAGAGCTTCAGTTTTGTAATTGATTTTTTCTAACAGTCCAAAATAGTGAAACAAAGGTTCCAAAATGGTATAACGCTCGAATTGTTGCAAATTTTGATGTTTTCGTCAAATTTATTTCTGACTACAAATGTCATATCCGAGGAATCAGAAAAATAAGTTATTGGCTACATAACCTGCTAATTTTTTATGACTAGAAAAGTTTGTATTTTGCAAAGAAAGCGAGAAATTCTGGATTTTGTCAGTTCTCGACAATTTACTTCCGAAAAAATTACAGTAAGATATCGATTCGACTGGTTTTATGTACAAAACAGGGGAACCAATTACCATTAATTCCTACCATTTTTTTTCGTAATCCTACCATTTCTTCCGGAAAATCTGCCATTATGATAGCTTTATGGAATGATAATTTTTCAAAATTATCATTCCAGCTCACATTCAGCTTTTAATTTTGTATTACCCATTTGTTCTCAGTGATCACTATACAAAAACGATTCACCAATTTAACATCCACATCATTTTTGTTGGATTTTTTCAGATCTATCCCTTGTCGTTTTCTACTATCAAATACCGCAGACCTCTAATTATTACCTCCGGGATACATTTGTAAGATTGTGCGAACTTTAACTTATTCATCGGATTATATTTATGAATATGCTTTTACTGTGACGTAAATGGTTTTTCAAAACTCAGCCAGAAGAAAAACAACAATCGTGTTTTACATGACAATTTTCGAGAGGAAGTAGCAGTTTTCATTGTTACCGTATGATTTTCGTTCGAATCTGAACAAATTACAATATTCTTCTAATAAAACACAATCTTCACACTTGAATTTCAACCTCCATTATCTCAGCTCTTCTCAAAGATAACGTAACTTTCTTATCATTATCAAGTATCACATCATTGTTTCGAATTTAGAATTAAATTGAATTCATGGACAGTGATTCATTTCGGAAGTTCAAGTGCTTTAACTACTCTACGAATTTTGTTCGATTTCTTAACTCCGTCTCTTGTTGTTTTAAACTATCAAAACATCGCAGACCCCTAATTAATTCCCCTGCGACACGCCCGCGAAATTCCGTGAATACTGAAATTTTAGTTATTCATCGACATTTACAACTTGATCTTTCCATGAATGTTTTTTTTTCGAAACTCTTCAAGAAAGAATACAAAATCGCTTGACAAGACTTATTCAAAGAGGGAATGGCAAATTACATAGCTACCGTATTAGAGCTCAGCTGTCAAGTTTCCGATAACTTTGAAATTTTGGAGGGTGTAAAACAGACCTAGATTTAAAACTTTGCATTCACAAAAGTTTCCGACAGTTCCTAATTTTTTTTCAGACATTTCCCGATTACTGAACGACACCTCTTTATCACCTATTTTCGTATTGAAACCGTGAAAACGCTTAAAATTACAGAGATAACTTTTTTCTCTGATTTTTTCTACACGACCTTACCAATATCGGTCATACGAACATTGTTTAAAAATAGGATTTAGCTAGAAATGAATACGGTAGCTTGTTCAGATCCTCGAGAAAATTATACGGTAACTATAAAATTCGCTATTTTCTCTTAAAAATCATCATGTAAAACAAGACTGTTTTTCTTCGGGTTGTGTTTTGAAAAACCATTGACGTCACCGTATAAACTTATTCATGAAAATGATCAATACCGATGAAAAAGTTAAAGTTCACACAATCCTGCAAATATATCCCGGGGGTAACAATTAGAGGTCTGCTATATTTTTCATAGTGAAAAATAATAAGGGATCGAGAAGAAATCAGACCAATTTTAATTGGAAGTTACATTGAAACAATGAACTTTCAAAATGAACCTCTGCCAAGGAAATTCAAAACTGAGATGGAATGGTGATTTTCAAAAGCTTGATCTGGGTTGGTCTTGAAAGAGGAATAAGTCAAAAACATCCCAAATCAGACACCGAGCAGGGAAGAACATCCGGCTTCTGGATGGGACCGTCAAAACATGAAAACGCAAAATTTCTAATAGAAAATGTAGCCGCTAGGGGGCGATGAATGCATTCCGCAGAAAAAAATTAATTTCTACTATGAAGCTTGAATTTTTTTTAATTCCGGAATTTTCGACGTTCCGAAAAATTTCGACGAGGCTAATCTAAACATCACTGTTTGAGAACTGAGACGATTTTTTTCGGAAATACAATTTTTCAAATATCTGAAAACTTAATCAGAATCTAAAAAAAAGAAATGTTTTGCTGTTTATCACAAGAAGCCTATTTTGACTGAAAAAATTTGATAGTAGATGTTTGTAGTTTTTGTTCTAGTTTATTAATTTTCTCGGGTCAGATAAGAGGAAGATACCGTAAACTCTTAAATAAAACGCCACGCGGTTCGTCCACTTTGAGCCTATATATCTCACTTTTTTTGAAAGATATCAAAAAATTGTCAACAAATGAAATGTTTATCATGATATCAGCAACATTTTATTAGTCAACTACTTTTTGATATCTCTCACAGAAACTGAGATACATGGGCTCAAATTTGACGGTTCGGGTGGCGTTCTATAAGAGTGTTAACGGTAAATAAGCTGAAAATGCAAGTGTACAGAAGAAATGTTTGGGTATCGGATTCCGGATTCTGGGTTTTGAGGAAAAGGGTTATTCCTAATTTTCCACATATGTTGTTTTTCAATAATTATCTTTGACGATCAGTTATTATATACTTCCGTTATAAACAATACAAATCTAAAGCATCATATGAGTTTTTTTAAAGAATTTTTCTGAACCCTTGGTTTTCTCAATTCTTCTGATTTCAAGATCCCGCGCATTCTTTTGTTATGGATTCTGCTTTGCAGTTTCTGTGAGATTTTTATTATTCCGAATTCCGAGTTCCGGACAGGCGTCTTTCAATTAGTGTGATTAGGGTAACTATGTGGTCCGAGTTTCTGGCTGATTTACGAAGATCAATTCACATCAGTGCGAAAACACATTCATGAAAAGATCAAGTTATAAATGCCAATGAATAACTGAAATTTTAGTATTCACAAAATTTTGCGGGCGTGTTCTTGGAGAATTAATTAGGGGTCTGCGATGTTTGATAGTGAAAAACAACGAGAGATGAAATTGTAACATCAAACAAAATTCGTGTAGTAAAATTGCAAATTTGAACTTTGAAAATTAACCATTCTCGAAGTGAGAGAGCGGTTATAAAATAATAAATTCAAAAATCTCGGTCTGGTTGGTCTCAATGAAGGAATAAGTAATCAAATCTTGAATCAGGCAACGAGCAGGGACGAAAAAACTCTTCAAAAGTTTAGCCTAATTGGAATGATGAATGCAGATCTGTTTCCAAAAAATATAACTCACCAGAAATCTAGGAATCGGCATCTGAAAGAAATCTAGGAATCGATATATTATTTTAAAAGAAAAGTTGGGTTTTAACATTTCCTTGTGTCAGTGAAACAAACTGAGACCGTATTCACAAACATTTCCGTTATAAAATTTCATTCTGAAATTTACTGGAAACAAAAGAAAAACTTTTTTGAAAACTCCCCAACTCTAAAACTTGTGATAGAATTTATAACTTTGCGTCAATTTATCTCTGTTCTTGTATAAGGTATCAAGTAATTGTCAATTGTCAACTTTTCCATATAATATCTCAAGAATTTTATCAGTTAACACATTTTTGATATCTTGCATTAGAATTGAGATACTTGGGGAAGTTGACAGTGTGGAAGTCTTTCTTTTTCAGATTTTACGGTTTGTGGCAGGGGTGGGCGAGGACGGGAGAAAAACCTTCACGTTTTGCAAATTTTCCGCCCTTGTTGTGCCATTCGAGATTAAAGGCGCACGCAATTTAGCCTACGGGTCTCGACACGAAAATGGCGGGAATTTGAAATTTGATTTATTCTTCAACTACGCGCCGCCAGGTAGTCATTCTTCGCAGCGGCCGACACTTCCCGGGTTCCGCCGTCCACTATACTTTGTGTTTGGCTCCGCCTACTTTTTTCGCGAAATGCGCGTGTTTTGCATTTCGTTTCCCACGAAAGCCGATTCCTCGCCCTGGTTTGTGGAGTTATGTTAATTTTGTTTCACGCTCATACCCATTCATGATTTTTTTAAATTAAGAGGTATGAATGTATGAAGCAGAAAAAATGACCGTCATGAGAACTTGGGACGGACCAATTTTTTCACCCATTCATTTTAATCCTTGCGTTTCATCTTTGGCTGAATTTCTAATAAGTCAGTAATTTCCCATGATTTTAATGGTCTTTTTTGGATTTCCCGGGAAAAAAATCGGGAATGACAGATATCCGAAATTTCCCATGTTGTAAATCTGACAATGTCAAGTGATGTTGTTGGTTGGGAAGGCTCATAAATTTCCTCAACTCTAAAAATCGAAAATCAAAAAAATTAAAAAATTTTAATGCCACAAGAGGGATCGAACCTGAGACCCCTAGAATCGGTCTTAAAGTTCACAGTGTGAAAGTCCTTTCATCGCAGGGTTTACGGTATGTGAGGTTGTTAATTTTGTTACATGCTCATACCCATTTTTATGATTTTTTAGACGCTACCTCGAAATAGAACGTGAGCAAAATAGAACTGTACCAAAATAGAATTGGACGCAAAATAGAACTGCGTGAAAAAGAACTGCTCTATAATTGAACTGTTCTGAAATAGAACTGCTCTTACATACAACCGCGTGAAATAGAACTGTTCTGGAATAGAACTGCTCTGGAATAGAATTGTTATAAAGGAAAATAGAACTTTTAAAAACGGAGATAAAAAATATATTACAAAAAAATGGACATAGATTTAAAAAAAGAAGAATATGTATCATAATCAACTCTTAGCGTAAACAAAACATCTTAAAGGGGGGGGGACAGGAGATTTTTCGGAGGTTTTTGGAGTTAGGGTATGCATACCGTGACGGTGAACAACGCTTAATGTCACTCTGCGTACAGCTGTCGTCCTCGCCTTTATGTATGCAATCGGCGGCCGCTTATTCTCTGCCCGCGTGGCTCAGTCGGTAGCGGCGCCGCACCGTTTATCCTCGCTCCCGAAAGTTCAACTCCTAGAGGGGCATATATAAACGGCATTTCGAGAACATTATTTTTTCATGTCTCCCCACCTTTAAAAGATTTAGATCGGACAAGGGGGCATAGGGAGTTCGTGGAGTATTCTCACTCGAAAGGTAGGGTTTAGAGCAATCTCGGCGGCGTCTTTTGACGTATGAATTTGATAAGTTCTATTAGATCACACATTTTCAGTGGAGATAAGCCATGATACTTTGTAACAAGTGCATGAAGGGAGCGGCCAGTGTTAAAATTAATAGCGAAAACGGACATACTTGTAATCCGGGTCTTTGCCGAGCCTTTGCGGGCCCTGCCATAACTTCTTCCAGAATCAATGTTTTCGTGGAGCTCTATCATATCTGATTTAGTTGGTTCGAAAATATAGATTCTGAAAGAAATTATGGCAGG